TGAAGGACACTTAACGAGCTTGGACGGGTGCCATTTATTCATTTGGAAGTGACCCTAACCAAACGCACCACAGAAACTATAGGTAGATTTTCAATTTAGCCAATGGCCAGATCATCAATATGATAACCCACCGCATGCATTCATGGTATATTCTCTGCTCCAGGATTTGCTATGAATTGTTAGTGTCAAAATAATACATTTTGCCAAAGTGTAACAGAGAACGAAGAAGAATTATTATTTTTAAATAAAAAGTCTAGTTTACCACTAATTCACCAGCACTAAGAAGGTGTCATCTCATGTACAAAAGTATTTACATGTCACTTAGTATGATGTTAATAAAACCTCAAAATTCCTAAAAAAAAATTAATAGGATGCTCCATAACCAAAAAATCCAATATCTGAAATCATCTATCGCTAACTCTAATAAAATCCTCTTCCACCCTCCCGAAATAGAAATAATGCTGAATGAATTAATTATATATTTATTCGAAATTTTTCACTTTTTAGGGAATATTATGTAGTTTTATGTATTTAAGTATGGATAGTTAATGATTAAGGGATAAGGAAGTTAGACAAGGTAGTTAATAAATCCTGGAAATAACTTCTAGAGTAACTACCCTCCCATAGTAGTAAAATAGATTGCTGTCTCTTTTGATAGATTACGTATGAAGGAATTTATAAAAGTTTTTTGAGTACTTTTCTCACTCAAGGAGATCATTGGATTCTTTCTTAATCTACTCATATTTAATTCAAAATTAGGTAAAGGAAGAAAGACACATAAACATTCACAAATACCTACTGATCTTTATGTTCATTTACCCGTAACTTGATCTATCAGAAGGGAAATAACATCCTCTCGTGCTGCCTCCTCTGGTTGTTGTTCATTTAATCAACCTGTCATCTAGGATATAGAGGGCCTGTCGGGGTGTGGCTCGGGACTCCACCGGTGTGCCTTGGATTGGAATACGTGGGAGAGTCATTTGAGCTGGGAGACAATGAAAAATGGAACGGACTTTGCTAGCGGCAGGTAGTTTAAGTTTGTAACCAACAGATCCCATTTTTCTCAATGACCTTGCGAGGGCCTTAATAGAGTGAGCCAAGTTTCTGATTTGATCTAGCTGCGAGTGTCTGTTGCCTGTAAGGTTGCAGATGAACATAGACAGCTTCATGCAGACGGAAATTACAACCAATGCGGTGGGCATCAGCCGGTTGCTTATCCTGTTTTGTGCTCTTTAAAGGTGGAACTTTAGGATTTTGAAGCTATCTTCTCTGTCCTTGAGGTAGTCATTGAGAGTGAGAATAATGGAATCCACTGGACTGAGTGGGACATCAATACGGAATGGGCCACCAAGGGCCTCAAAATGGTGTATGGATGGTTATGTGATAGTGGTGTTCCACCAGAACTCCCCGAGCACTAACCAAGTAAACCAGCTTGTGGGAGTATTGTGACACAGGAAATGTAGATATGTTATGAGACATCTATTAACTACCTCTATCTGACCAACCATCTGCGGGTGCTAGTTGTAGTGATGCCACGGAAGCTTCCTGTAGTTGGAACAGTTCTTGCAAAAAAAAATAAAAACAGAGAAAATTGATCCTGGGTCACTACTAATGTGTCTGGCATGCTATCTAACTTAAAAATGGCCACTGTAATTGCTGAGTGGAAAGGATGGGTCAGTTCCAGGAAGTGAGTGTATTTGGGGAATATGTTTTTATCATAACTACCTAGACAATTTCAAACTTGCAACTGCCTTCTAACTGACATTGACAAGTGTCAGTCAGCTGGTGGCAGTGGTAAAATTATTTGTAGCAGCAAAAAAACACACAACATAAACACACTTCGTCCTACATAATCCGAAATAAACTGAAATCTGTTTCTTCCTACTCCAATAAACCATATTAAATGTGTACAGGTGTAACCAACTAGAAAAAATATGAGCACTAAAAGGTTTTACTTGTGATGAAGGCCTCCTCCCAGAATTCAAACTTTGACCACGATGGTGCGATCTCACGTATTGGAATTCCCTCGCTCAGACACACTCTGCAGAGCTTGGAAAGTTTCAGTAAATAAAAATTCTAACAATAATGTCAATAGTCTATTCTAGTCAACTTATGCTGATGAGGAGTATAAGAAGTCCTAAAAAAGGAAAAAGCATGTGGCAAGCAGCAGCTTCATTTTGCAAAAAGCAGCATGACAATCAAATCTGGAAGAAATGGGATTTTCTTTTTTTTTTTTTTAATATAAAATATTGAACTAGGATTTTACTAAAACTTCATTAATAAAAAGTTCTACTCCGATGAACCTAAAAATTGGCACCTTGTTTTGCTTCTTGACACTATGGCTTAAACTTGTATCAACCATGGATTACTAATGGATTACCTTCAATATGCATCATACGCATTTTCTGTATTCGTAATTGCAAAGATTCTTCAAAATTGCTTGAGAAGAAAAAACAATTAATCATAAACAAAATAATGTGAACTTAGTTGCAAAAGTAAAGCAATGAAATTCTTTATTCTCAAAGGGAAAAAAACCTTTATTATTGTTGTGAAAAATAACCTAATTGAATTTGATCATTTGCTGCTCATTGACCAAATCTTTTCAGTACTTAAGAAGAATAAACTTTAGAGTCCAGAAGTAGAGCATACTCAATGACCAATTCTCGAATAACACCCGGAAGCACCCCATCACTGATAGGAGCTGTTTGCACTTCAAAGGAATATGTACTGTTGCACTCATGTGAGTATCTTCCCTCAGCTTCACTGTTATCCTAAAAGCAAATTCCAAAAGCATTTTAAGATTAAAACTTAACAACAAACATGAGTGAATTACATGAACATTATTGCCACATAAATGACAACAAATACAATGCCTCATAAGTCCTGGGTCATCTCAAGACTTGCTAGGAGTAACAAGTCAATCTAGCTTTCCATTTGATACCAAAATCTACATGAATCAACATTATAGTTTATAATTTGAAAATGGCTACCAACATGACTGATAATAAATAGTTTCATCCATTGGAAATTTAGAAGGCTAAATTAAGGTACACTAAATTGTAATTCAGTAATCTTTGACACCAGTTTCTCCATTAATTTGAATGCACATTCAAATTTGACCATATTTCAAAACAAACAAATCTTGTTAGATGCCTTTGGATCATCACTATTTTTGAACTAATATTATAGACCCAAAAGAGAAACCACCTCATGTTGGAAATAAATGTTAAACTTAATTTTTCAAGACCAAAACAACTATGAAATGGTTACCAGCTCGTATAGAAGACTTAAATAAGCGTAAATAATTTTGTTACCAGAAGATTTCTCTGATAAAAGGAATAGAAGAAGAAAAACCTGTGCTTGTTAAATCTCATAATGAAGAACTACCAAAGAGGGCACACTTTGGACCTTGGAACTTTCAACTTGTCAATCTCAAAACACCTAAAAGAAAATCACAAACATCAATCACCCACCTTTTGACAAACGACGAAAAAGTTTGTTATGCAGCCTTCAAGTATGTGATCACCATCATTCGAAAGCAAAAGCTCAGTCACCAGAGGAGGTCTCAACTTCTCCAGAGGCTTCCTTAGCCTGTACAGAATACAGAATTCATCCTAATCACAATTCAGATAATGCACCAAAGCAAGAAGAACATTAAAGACACTCAAAACACTCCTAAAGTTTCCTAATAAAGAAAGCAAGGCAGATATTGAGATTACGAACATTAAACTTCACATTTAAGACAAAAAGAAGAACTTCCCACCATCTGATGGTAATCCAACTTAGCTAACTACTTGTGAGTAATTCTTATGTCCTCATTTGAATTCAAACCAGTATACCACATTCTTTTTTTATCTTAACAATCTAGTTTGACAGCTGAAAGGAAAATGCATGGATGAGCATGCTGCAGCAAGCCCAAAAGCGCATACCCATTACCACGCCAAACTAATGAATTGAACACTGTGGTCTGAATAAGTGACTCTCATGGAAGCACAGCTCGGGAAAAAAGTTTCTCTTTTTTTCTCAACAATTCAATTGACCAAAACCCTAGAAATGCAAAGAAACCAACCTTACCCAATCTGAATACTTGGCAACCGCAACCTCCCTACCATAACCCACCAAAGCCAAATGCGCCCCATTTCCTTCAACACCAAACAAACCAGGGACATAAGTTCCAATATGCACATTCACATCAAAAACCCTATCGACTCTTTCTCCATCCAGGTCCTGAACTCCATAGAATTTCTCCACATCGCAGCTGACAAGAGCCGTGACCGCCAATTCCTCGCCATCGCTCCTCCTGCTCTCTCTCAACGCAACTTTCAACGCCTTGCTCATTGAATCGTTTACCAAGCTTGGAATGCCCGATATCCATACAGATGGGTCTATCGAGAACGATGACAGCGAACAATGTGGTGTCGTCTCGTAGGGCTTGAATAAGAGTCGAGGTTTCGAGTTCAAGAGAATCCTTGCTGAATTCGCGAGTCTCCGGAGATGCCGTTCCCAGAACAAGAGGCATGAAGCATTGTCATGGGTTCGAGTAGTCGTGTAAGCACCTGTTCGAAGTGGATAAACTAGTGACTGAAACTGAATTCAGAACTTCGTTATGTTTATACTTTTATGAGTTTGGTATTCTAAGAAGAAAGGCACGAGGACTGCAGGAAGGAACCTTACCTGGATGTGACTCGAGGAAGGTGGCGACTGGAGGAGTGTCGGAGGAGCGCGAAACGACGCCGTTGCTGAATACGAGCCTGAAACTCGACATCTTTATTCTGGAAGGCCAAAAAGAACAAAAAAACGGAGTTGTAGTATTATAATTCAAAACTTAACAGCAATATGTTTGGGAAAAATTAAATTGTTCAATTTTTTTTTTTAATTTTTAGACTTAAAAAAAACTATAGTAAATGGTCAAAACTTAAAATGACTGTAATCATTTAAGAATTTTATATATTTATTATATTTGTAATTAAACATACTACTAAATTAATTAATTAAATTCTATGCCTGCTATATTAAGATATTTAATAAATTTATTATTAAAATTCACTTTTTATGGCAAAAGATAAAAATTTCTATTTACTACTGTTAACTGTCCTTCTCAGCCCACTGAACAGAAACTTCAAACATAACATCTCTTGTTACTTATTATAACAAAATTTATTTTTGTTTCAATTTGCAGACATATATATATATATATATTTATATTTTAGTCTTCAACAAAATGCTCTTTAAAAAAAAAAAAAAAGATATTTATAGGCCGTAAGTGTAATCTCTATGTTAAAAGGGCTGAAAGAGTTCAGCCCAATTGCCCAAGCCCATGGGTAGGAAAGAAATGGATTGCTTGCGACAAAAATAGGTGACATGTCTAAAATGTGTGCTTGTGTATATATATGTATGAATTTGTGTAATAGGTTAATAATGATTTTGTTGAGATGTATTTGTGGTGTAGATAGTGTAGATACACTATTATTTCGGAAAACGTATAAATACCTTGTTTTAACCTTCAAACTCTCTAAACTATATATTTTTCATTCTTATAATCCTAAAATTTATCTTTCATCGTCATTGCATTCTTCCTTTATGTGTCCATTAGTTTTTTTTTTCATCATTTTATGCTTGCTTCATAGATCTTTTTAAGTTTTAGTTGAGAGAAGAAGAAAAAAGGTTTTCTCACCATTAGAGAGAAGACACAAGTGCTTATTGCATGGTATCATAGTACTTAGATAGAGAGTGAGCATTAAAATCATACAGCTACTCAACCAAATGCATTATTTTTAAGTGCAATCATCTTAAATCTCTCGAATCTGAGTAGTTCATACTACAACGGAGTGAATAAAAGCCCTCGTGCACTCCTAGTCACTCAAAATTAATTGAAGCGAACAATTATCATACCTAGGTCATATAAATGAAAAGAGTATTGTGAATCAAGAATAAAATAGGTTTGTTGATATGAGCTTGAGAGAACCAACAGATCCTTCAGATCCTTTGATGGAGCATTGGTTATGATATAACGACGTCGTTATCACTTGGATCCATAATACCCTATTTGTTGATAGAAAGTGCATGACATTTTATCTAACATAATGCATTAGCTACGGCTCAAGCTAAAGTAGAGGCTTGTGCAGCAAAATGCACCAAAAATCTATATGGTAAAGCAGGAAATCAACCAATCTCATAGAAATCCAAGGTTTTTAGGGGTTTATTTTTCAAAACTAAAGGGTTCATTTGATGAATAGAAGAATTATGAGCTGATGTCAAATTGCATATGTGGGGGACTTAATACAATAGTTGATTATCAACAAATAGATTGTTTGATGAAGTTTTTGATGGGTTTTGATGAATCAAGCATAGACCCGATGAGTGTAAATAAGTGTACAAAATCAAATACAATACAAAGGGTACACTTGATGGGTAAAAAACTAGACTTATAGACAAGGGTTAATTTCAAAGAAGGGATTAAATTACTTTGAAATATTTTCTCTGGCGGTAAAAATTGTATATGTATGATTACTTCTTTCCTTAACAGTAGTTCATGGATGGTATCTTAGATAATCTAATGTCAGGAATGCATCTATACATGGTGATCTGAATAAGGAACTATGCATAGAGACATCACTTGCATATCCTGGTTAGATAACATAAAAGATATGTAGATTAATGAAGAGGTTATATGAATTTAAGCAAGTTTTAAGACAATATTATGTTAAATTCTTAAACTTAATTGTCAAACAAGGATTCACATAATGCAAATCTAATTATAGTTTATTGGTGAGAATGAATATGAGAGACTTTACAGCAGTACTAGTATATGTAGATAACATAATTGTGGTCAATTAAACAGTAATCAAATGATTGGTAAATTGAAATAAATCATGAATAAGTAATTCAAAATTAAAGATCTTAGAAACTTGAAGTACTTTTTGGGCATTAAAGTAGCTAGGATGAAAGGGAGGATTCGCAATTATCATAGGAGACATGCATTATATTTGCTGAAGGATATTAGAATATTAAGAGGAAAAATATCAAAGGTTCTCTTAGATCAAAACGTTAAGTTATCAAAAGAAGGTGGTGAACCTATCACTAATCCAACCATGTAAAGAAGACTCATTAGGAAATTGTTGTATTGAACCATAACAAAACTAGATATAGCCTACTCTTTACAACTGATAAGCCCTGTACGAACACGAAATATATGGATTGAGTTGCCCATGTTGTAGACCCAAGACATAGTAAAAAAGAATAGGAAAAACATGAACCAGTCAACCTAGAAAAATCTGCCCAGTTAAGGATTTTTAATTGTTGTGGAATTATTGTGATTTCTTTTTTATTTTGTTTCAATTATGTAAGCGTAGAAGTAGGAGTTTTGGTTCTTTCTTCTTGTATTTAAATGTAGTGCAAATGAATTAAAAAGGCAAATCAATTTTTTCCAAAAAGAAACCCAAACAGCGTTGTTTCTCACTGTAATTAGAAACACCCAACCTCTTGTTTGTTCTTCTTACTCTGATCGGGACCTATTAACAACTTCTGAACAATTTAAGGAAAAGCTTACAGATAAGTCTTTAAATGCAGTATACACGGATCAAGGCATATTAAATGCGTTTATTGGAGATAGATTATTCTATCCTCGTTCAACAGAGTTAAAATTAAATTACTATAGTAATAGTGATTAGGTAGGATGTTTGGGCACAAGAATGTTAGTCACAAGATATTGTATTTTTCTTGATGTCTCTTTAATCTTCTAAAAATCAAAGAACCAACAAACGGTCTTAAGATCATTAATTGAAGCATAATACAAAGCCATGACAAGTATGTGTTGTGAATTGACATGGATTTACTGGTTGCTTTTGGGATTAATAATTCAAGACTTACAACATTATATTGTGATAATAAGACCGCAAGACATATAATGATCAATGTGGTATTTTATGAAAGAACAGAGCATGTTGAACTTGACTATTACCTGGTATAAAAGAAGGTTTAGGTGTTAGGTTCCAGTCAGATTGAAGTTAGAAATCAGAAAGCTTTTCTTCTTAAGGTGAGAAAATTACTTGAATTTTCTTGAAAAACATGGTCCGCCCCTTTTATTCAAGAACTGTAGCTTTTAAATACAAAAAAATGAAACAACACGCTTCCTACTTTTAAGGAACTGATAAGGATAAAAATCAAAAGAAAATGATAAAGGAAAAATGTAGTTACTGCGGACGTGGAGAGTTGAGGATGGTGGCTTGACCGAGACAATATGCATATTTTCCTTTCTTCTTTTGATCTGCGGTGTGTGGGTTTATCATTGCCTCTCCTTTTTTTAGAACCTTGTCCTTAAGGTTCAGGTGGCCTTGGTCTCTCCATTTAGCCAGGTTTTGTAGACTCGATATCTTCTTCCTCTTTGTGGCCTTCTAGAAGCAATAGTTGGGGTCGACGACATCTGTTCCCAAATGTAAATTTTTCGTCATAGTGGAAGCACAACCCTTATGCTCGTCGGCGTTGTGCTTCTTTCCAGGATAATCAATTGGGCGCAGCAGCTATCGTTGTTAGGGCTCGTGTGGCTTGATCAGGTAGGGAAGATACTTGCTGATCGGGTTGAGTCTACCCTGCCCATCTCAGCTTATCTTAATGGCCCAGCTGCTCCTCATGTATGTGAGCCAGACTTATTGCATCTTTTAGCGTTCTGGGCTTAAACATCCTTATGTCATCTACGATTTCGAGCTTGAGTCCACCAATGAAAGTACCTACGAGGGCCTTTTGGGTCCAACCCTGAACCCAATTACCCAACCTTTTAAATTCTTTTTGATAGTCTCTCAGCGAGCTCAATTGGCATATTTTGGATAAGACCTCATCAAAATCTTCATACTCCATCAATCTAAAATGGGCCTAGAGTTCTTTAGTGAACCTGGCCCAAGTCACCACTCGGTCGTCTTCCCTGTACGCCCTTTGCAACCATTGCCACCATTAATTAGCCTCCCCTCCAAGGTGGAAGGCGGTTAATAAGACTTTATGGTGGTCAGTGGTGCCTTGGAATTGAAAAAACTGCTCGACCCTATTGAACCACTCGGTGGGTTCATCGCCGGCATATGTCAGGAAGTCCAGTTTAACCAGCTTCGAGTAAAACCCCTTGTTACCTCGTGTTTGGTTATTCGTCTTCTTTTCTTTTGTTAAGTCGTATTGGTCCCAGTCACCCTAGAGAGTGGCTTATGGAGCCCTCACGGCTCGACATAATGGTGTCTGAAAGGCGCAACAAGTTCTCTTCAATCAACCGCAGCTTATTGGCTATTCCCACTTCCAAACGACTCATACTATCCTGCAAGCCACCCAGCCCGACCTCAAGTTTTTCAATCCATGTTTTGTTCGACGCCATGAAGGTCTATGTAGCTGATATTTAAACCTCGCTTTGATACCAATGTTAGGTCTCAGTCATATTGAAGTTAGAAATTAGAAAGCTTTTCTTCTTAAGATGAGAAAATTACCTGAACTTTTGTGAAAAATATGGTCTACCCCTTTTATTCTAGAATTGCAGCTCTTAAATACAAAAAAATGAAACAACACATTTCCTATCTCTAGGAATTGATAGGATAAAATCAAAAGAAAAGGATGAAAGGAAAAATGCAATTATTG